AAACCTTACATCGGGTGGGTGGGTGGGAAAATATCTCATAAACCACCGAGTGTCCGTTCCTAAAGCGTGAGTGAAGAAATAACTGTTTTCACCCCTTATATACCCTTGCTAGGAATGCACGTGGAACGTGCAAATGCACATACTTGTGCCCCTTATATAAACAACATACCGTTACACAATGACTGAATAAACTCTGCATAACAACGGAAAATTCATGATCAAGCTCGTGTACGACGAAGTCTACTTAAGCAGCCTGGAGGAGAAATCTCAGTTCCTGTCCCAAGAAATAACAACAAAATAAAAAAAAGAAATTCAAGAAAGGGTCCAAAAAGGAGTCTACAACCTTGTTTGGAGAAACAACATGCCAGAAAGCTGGCATGATGGGAAATTTATTCTTAGACCATTTAAGGTGGCCGGAAGAAATATCCCACTGTCAGATATCAGAAAGTCAACTCTCAAAAGTGATGAGCAATACCTACGACTACGCACAGACGAAAGCCTCACAGAAGATACTATTGATCCTAGGCTGAAGTCTCTGGGGGAATCAAGAGAAGAAGAGAAGAAAAGCTACCTCAAGCATATTGAAAGCCAACGCCACTGGATGATATGGCATGACCATTCCTCCATGGCAAATAGCGGTTTCATGCTGTTTTTGATACGTCAGCTGTATGTTCCAGCCAGAATACCAGCAAAAGACAGGCAGAAGCATTGACATACAGGCTACAGTGCAAAGGCCCCATGTATATATTCTTAGCAAAGCAAGGGCAACGGCTGAGGAGCAATTGCGATTTGTTTCAACAAGACATGAATGCCTCAGAGAAATGTCACAGCCCTTACAGCACAAAGGAGTTCAGGCTAATGACAAAATGCGCCTAATGAATGGAGACAAGCCAGCTGTGGAGTTTGAGGCTGGTAATCAGAAAGGTGGGCATTACCCCAGTCCTGACTGTGATGCTCACATGTCAATGGCAATGGACTACACATATTCAAAATACAGAAATCACAGAGACCTGGAAGAAAGAAGGAATATAGTGCTTGATGGAAAACTGGGGAAGGAAAGAAGTGTTGATCCATTCAAGAAACTTAAGAAGGAAGAAGTCGTTAGAGAACTGAAGGCAAGCAAGGAGACAAGAAAACGCTGGACAATAGACTTACAGACATTCTTTGTGGAGTCACAAACATCCCGCCACTACTAAGTGATACTAATCTTTCACTCAAAGAATTAAACCTTCAAGATTATGAAGTATTGGCATTTGAGCCTTTACATGACACTATGAACCATATATCTAATATAATTAAAGAAATACCACACCATATTACTGATGCCAAAGTGCTCATAACTATAAAGGAAGTGATTACAGTGCTGTTCGACAAAGAAAAGGTAAGGGGTACAAACTATCGCCGTGCCCTATTAAYACTTACTGCTGCAATACTTGCAGATGTTTCTCAAGATTTTATTGATCTCCTTTTATCTTTCATCGAAATGACACACATATTTTATTGCCATGAAGAAGAACGTTGCCCTAGGCAAATTCTTCGCTTGTACATTTCATGGTTGCACAGCAAAGCAGTCATGAAAACACTAGAGGCGATTTCGTATGAGTGGGAAACTGATGCTGACGTGATACCACTACGGTACGGCTACGATACGGATTCGAGGGGCCCAAAAGCATGACGGKATTTGGTCATTTTGTGTTGACCGCCGGATGGAGCTGAGCTCTTCGTGATTTTACTGGGTTTTACTACATACAAACATAACTTAGTTAACTATGATACAGAGTACAGTACATGGTAAAATGTGAGTTTTGCTGAATACAATCGATTCCATGTCCAGAACGTGATAACTGACRATCGCTTGAAACCTAAACTAGCCATTCAAACTAAAATTGCGAAGTGAAAGTCTTGACAACAGCATGGATACGATTTCTTTGTAATTSGTGTTGGGTTTCTTCATGTATTAAAAACTCATTAAAAAGATTTAAATAAGATAGTTTACTGCTTGTGGTAACTTAAGCTTAGTAACAAGTTTATGCTCACCGGCCAATTGGTGGAAGGAGGTCAAAAAACTCAGTGGTAAAGAGAAACCCTCAAGAGCACATGATAACATCATTAAGGCCTTAAAGAACCTCGACGGACAAGAGAAATCAAACGACGTGAACATTGCGAACATGGTCAACAGTACCTTCTTAGCACCAATGAAGGATTTCCAAGCTTTACCTGACCAGGTCTCCACTCCTCTCACCGAATCACCCCAAAAGGTCACTCCCACCTCAGTCATGAAGAAACTCTTCGCCATAAATCCAACAAAGGCTCAAGGACCAGACGGAATACCCGGATGGCTCTTAAAATAGAATGCTGACCTTCTGGCGGATCCTATCACAGAGACCAAGCGCGTGSAAAAAAGCAGACGTAATACCAGTACCAAAACAACGCCCTATTAGAGATGTCAACAAACACCTACGTCCCATATCTCTCACACCAATTTTATCAAAGGTTGCTGAAGAGTTCGTTGTTGAGAGCTATGTGAAACCCGCTGTAATGGCAAAGATCGATTGTTCAAGACCTTATAACATGGTCCGAAGTCAATAAATTCCAAGTAAATGAGCAAAAATGCAAAGAACTGTGTATCACATTCAGTAAACGTATGCGCTCTTTCGAGCCTATCATTGCTAACAACTCCGACATCAGCAAGGTTGAAAATGCAAAATTACTTGGAATTACTATAAGTAATTATCTAAAATGGAATGCTCATATTCACGAAATCATCTGCAAAGTTTCAACAAGATTGTACTTCCTACGACAACTAAAACGATCTAATTTGGATTCAAAAGACCTACTGCTATTTTATATTACTTGCATTCGCCCAGTAACTGAATACGCATGCCAGGTTTTTCACAATGCTCTTCCAAAATACCTATGCGAAGACCTCGAAAGACTACAGAAACGCGCCTTGCGTATAATCTATCCTGGAATACATTACCCACAAGCACTAGCAGAGTCAGGCCTACCAACTCTGGAATTTAGACKTCAGCAACTGACAGAAAACTTATTCAAAGAAATTGTCGCTGATATCAATCACAACCTACACCATCTCCTACCAGAACAAACCAATAATAATAATTATGCATTAAGGAAAAAGCACATCTTTCAGCCTAAGTTCAAAACTAATCGTTCTAAAAATAGTTTTATAAACACCAATAGTTTGACCTTCAATTTGTAACTATCCCTGTACATATATAATTTAATATATAGAATTTTTATGATAATTTTGAATTGTTTTTGTAAGCGATAACATAATTCAGCCCTGTGGCTGCTAGTTTTATTTGCATTAAAGTATCTATCTATCTAAGTTTATGTCTATACACCTGTATGTTGTTCGAGTCGAGCTTTTATATGTGCAATATTTCAGCTTCTATGACTGAGAAAATTGTGATGCCCTGAAATCTTATAGCACAAAATTCAACTCTTTATTTAAGATGTTCTTTCTTTTTTTTCTTCAATATATTAACATCACTGACAGCATTTTGTAGTTTAGAAAATCAAACTATACAGTAAAAAGTCCAAACTGCACTGAGCACTTGAAGTAAAAATAATTCAAACAACAAAGGGTTAAAACAGCTTAACAATTTGACTGAAGGTACATTTTGATAAGCTTAATAATATTGTTATTTGTCTTACTTTGTGGTCAAAACTGGATAATCGATCCACTTCTAGAATTGTTATTGAGTTTTACGATTTTTTTACAATTGGATCAAATTAAGTATCTGGTTATTATTAGAGGAAATATTTTTACATGCAAAGAAACCAATTTATGTATTATTTGCAATAAATTTGCTTACATCCACATAAGAAGAGCCAAGTTTTTGTATGCTTTAAATGTTTTCCGAGAACCTCCTGACAAGATTTCCATAACTGGACTGCATGATATGAATGTATGAGCCAAACAGATCCCTGTTTAAACAGAATGTGCCCAGCTGAAATTTCCAGAGTTTGTTATGAACAATGATTCCATATTTGTTTGTTCTGGATCATGAACGTTCTTGTGAACTTTTAGGGAATTAGT